CAAGTGGTCTAAGGGATCCTCCATAGGCAACCCATGAAACTTGTTTCCTTGTATCATTGAGATCAATCCACTCTTGATCTCGAAATTGTTGTTCTGGACAGGAGGTGGAACTATGCCCTGTCTCTGTTGATGGCTTCTTGGTGCATCCCCAGCACCAATGTTCCTTGGTATCCCAACTCCTTGATTGTCTTGTTCTTGTGGTTCCATGGCTACTGGATTGTGCAGTTCACAACCGTCTCTGGCTCTACGTTCTTTCAACTCACGAGCTAACTGGTTGATGTTGTCTTTGTAGCTGATGAGGTTGCTGGAGCCTTTAGAACGAGTTTGCATACAAAGTGGTTAGTCTCGATGTGCAGGCTCGACGTGAGGTCGAGATGGTACCTAACAATGCAGGGTGGTCAGACTCGATGTGGCAATCTCGACGTGAGGTCGAGATGGTACCTGGAGCACAAAAACAAGCAGATGAAATGAAGAGTTAGTAACCAAGGTAAAGAAAGAACTTGATCTTAAACGTTTCTGAAATCTTAAATGGAACAATGCAACACAAGACCGGCAACGGCGCCAAATTGATAGTTAGATTTTGCTTTATCTAACAGGTATCAATCCCTAATACACATGCCATTGTAGTATATTAGGTTATCAATCCAATCTCAGTGTGACTGCAAGCATTCAAGATATGAAACAGAAAGCAAATAAGTCAAGCCAATTGTGAAAGGGTTTTGTGTGTTTCTATTGATCCTAAGCAACCAATTTAACATGCAAATACCGAATTCGAAAGCGTAAAAAGAGAACTAAACAGCGAGTAAACAAGAGCAAGAAGTAAACTAAAGACCAGAAACTATCATGCATAAGCTTTGGAAAAGAAACTAGCAACCTAACAATGCAGAGAAACGATCTAGGCCTAACAGGTCGAGATGGTCACAAAAGCTAACAGAAACGAGATTTAAACAATCAATAGAGATAAAAGGTCCTGAGGAATGGGGTAATCGATTATGGCAGTCTCCTTAGTCTAGCTAGGTGGTTAACAAACTCAATCAAGCTATCCCTAGACAATAGATTCGAATACAAATCAATCCACTCTCGTGACAGAGATTCTCAAGCTAAATCACTTTCATACCCAATTCTCATTGAAGAAATATAACCTAGCAGGCATTATGATTCAATCTAATAAAGTCAATAAGCATTCTAAACATCCAATCTCTTGGGCTAGAGTATGCAAATCTCTGGAATAGTTGGTTCAGACATTTCATCAAACACCTTTTGGGTGTGGAAATGTCTGAGATCAACTTCCAATTGATCAGAGAGGAAGTAGCATTAAGATCTACTAAACCAGAAGGGAAATCAAGCAATTCTACACTTAACCACCTAAATATACTAAGGATTCCACACCTAATCTATCCCATCCTCAAGAACCCTAATCCACTACTCAAGAACACTGAAGAACATCATGCATAAAAACCCAGAAAACGTTTCAAACCCAGAAATCATTAAAAAGCAAGTATGTTATAGATAAGAGGCAGATCTACAACTTTGATGAAGAAACGAAATCCAAAAACTCAAAGGATCAACAGGAAAAACGATTACAAAAACTAGGGTTTATGAGAGAACAAAGGAATATCTGCTGGGTAAAGAGAATATCCTCTGGACAATAGCATGTACCCCTATTTATAGGAAATACTAGGTTGCCCTAATTGGCTACAGGACAAAATAGAGAGTCGGTGGAGGCCAACTCGACGTGACGTCGAGCCAGCCACGTCGAGACCGTCTGATCTTCAAAGGTGGCGCCTTGACGTCCATCTCGACGTGTCATCGAGTCTGTCTGGTCGAGTCTGCTCCCAGTCTGCTTCTTGGCGTCCTACTCGACGTGTCGTAGAGCCTGCAGGTCGAGACTGCTCCCAGTCTGCATCTTGGCGTCCTACTCGACGTGTCGTAGAGCCTGCAGGTCGAGACTGCTCCTGGGTGATCTTGAACGACTTCATTCCTCTCCAATTCGATCCCAAGTCTAGCTCCAAGGTCGTGTTGGTTCCTCCTTGCTCCATCAAGTCCCAAATAAGCTCCAAAGTACCTAAAACTCATCCAATATGCAACATGCTATGCCATGCAATGCAAATCGTACTAAGTGATGAAAATCTTATGAAAAAGGACTATTAATGCAATGAAACAGAGAGTAAACTAAGATAAATGCATAAGAAATGTGTGCTAAAAAGAGGTAAAATACAGAGATATCAGTCCTCCAGATCGTGCTTGGAGCCGGCAGAAGAACTGAGTTCAGCCTCAAGAGCTGAGAATTTCTTCTTCCACATGTCAATCTCCTTCTCCCGTCCAATGACCAACCCTTCGTAATGTTCAATCATGTCGTTAAGTTCGCTGTGAGCCTAGCATTATATATAAACCCGGGATGGCGAGTCAGTTTGCAGAATAGCAATACATAAAAAAAAAAAAAAAAAAAACAAAAAACGGAACTAACCCGAGATGAATGATGAGCGTGAAGCAAATAGCGTTCGCAAATCGCAGGGCGCCACTTGTCGAAGTCTGGCAAGATATAACCCGATCGGGTCTTGAAGCATCGGAAGACGTTGCCTTCTTTCTCCATAGCTGCGAAGAAGGAAGAGTTGTAAAAATTGGAATCTTAATAGAGACAAAAACGTTTAAGTATGTGTAAGTCACCAAACCTGAAAGCGATTTGACTTGAGGGACAAGAGCAGGCTTTAACCTCGAGGAAGCATCTCGAGATTCAGAATCTCCCTTTTTAGGGGATGCACTCCGAGCAGTCTTTTCGCTGTCGGGCTGGGAAGAAGAAGACATGTCAACAAGTCGGGGAGGACCCATTGGTTCAGTGGGAGGGGATGATCGAGGTGAACGGTCAGTTCGGGCCCTTGATTTCTCCCTTCGCGGAGACGAGTCACTACGGGACGACTTGTCCCTCTTCCTACGAACCAAATTCTTAAGTGGTTCATTGCTGAAATCGTCTCGGGGAGGACGAGGAGAATCACGACGAGGAGACCGCTCTCTCCGAGGAGAACGTTCGTCATGACGTTCACGACGAGGTGTTAGCCTATAAGCAGCAACGGATCTGGCGCCCTCGGAGCTATTATCATCAACCAGCAGGGTCCTGCTGTAATCTTTTTTGTCAATGGCGGCCGCAAGGAACGCCTTGTTTTCATCACAAGCCTCTGCTATCGGCTTAGAGAGTTTCTTACGCTGGGCAGTAAGGGCCCGAACTGACATTCCCTGAGTTGAGGGAGGAGGCGGAAGACGATGAAGTAGATTGGGAGGACTCATCCTGAGTTTTCGGTTGGCCTCGACAAACCGATCGAGGGTGAAAGAATTCCAAAGGGTTTCCCCTTCGAGGATTGTTTTGAAGAACTTGACAAATTCTTCAGTCGGGAGAGTTGAAGCGATGAGAGCTGTGAAGTGAAACAACGAATTTGGTCAGTAAAAAAAAATAAAATGAACAGGAAAGGAATATACGACCTAGTCTCTACCAGGCTTCGTAGACCACTTCGATGGGAGTACATCGGAAAGATTCCCAATCGAAGCAGGAGTTTTCTTAATCAGGAACCAAGGATGGTGCCAGTTTTCATCCTTGTTCGGGAGGTGCGAGATGACGTTTCTATTTGCATTTGGGTATGCCGAGAAGTATCCCGTTTTCTTTGACGAACTTCTCACACTTAGAAGTTCATTCAGCTCGGGGACTCCAATGATGTAGCCAGCCTCTGCCGCAACGGTTATAATCCCGAGGATGGTTCGGAGGAGATTGGGGGTTAGTTGAGGTAAAGCAATCTCAAGAGCCGCCAGGAATCGAATTAGGGCTTCGGGAATGGGGAAGGTCAATCCGCAGCCGTTGAAGTAAATTTCGTAAACGCAAAAAATACACATCACGGTGGTTCTCCGGGGATTCCGTAGGATCGGCTATTTGTGCCTCCGCTATGATTCCAGGAGGAATTTGACAAAGCCCCTTTAATCGCTCAAGGGATTGAAGAGTACAGGTGGATTTGTAATGAGGACCGGCGATATCGTTAGGACGAGTGCATTCGTCATTACTAGAACGCCTCTCATCGTAAGACGGAGATTCAGGTCTCTCAGAATCGGAAGTCATCGGAGGAAAATGAAAAATTCAAGGTTCGGCGAAGAAAGTTTCGGCGAAGAAAAGTAGAGAGAAGTTTTGATTAAAGCACAAAAGTAAAAGAAGAAAATGATGGTGAAAAGAAGTTACCTTACACAAACTAAATGATGAAACCGCCTCGGAAGTTGTGTGGGAAGTGGGAAGGTTTTTCCCGTTTTAATAGTAAATAATTAATATACGGTCATAATGATGACAGATGTCACTCGGATAAAAATGGCTAGTGCCGAAATTAAAGGAGTGATGAGATTTTCGGCGGGAAATCAGAAAGATTCTCGAGCGCAATCTTTGGTCATTCAAGCATTTAAAGTCCTCCGAATTGGAATGGCACTTCGAAGAACTTGGGGGGCTAATTGTTGGTGTCGGATCCCGCACCAGAAGTCCGAGACCAACCAAAGATTGCCACGTAGACAGGATAACGACCCATAAAGGATAAAGCCCACTAGACCCACAAGTCAAAAGAACAGTCGGAGTGGTTGTCAACGTGAAGAGAGTCCGAAGTGACTACACCTCGACACGAGTCCGGAGACGAAGTCATGGTTAAGTCGGTCCTAAGGACATTTGGGCCAAAAGGCGAGGCCCATAAAGATCGGAGTCAACTCAAATTCAAACGTTGAGCATTAAAGTCAAAGATCAAAACGGACACATTTAAGAGGGAATAATTGTACATAATTATTCATTTTAATGTCGTTTCTCTATGTATAAATATAAAGGTCAATGACCATGTAAAAGGGGGATCTTCCTCTAGAGAAAGAAATACTATAGCAATTTTCGTAGCAATTCATAAGTTTTTACATATTCGTTTTTGTCCCTCAAGAGTAATCTTTCCTACTTAATAAAAATACTTGAGTGTGTGAATCCGACATCCACATCAAGGGTTTATACTCGAATATTTTAGACGAAGGAGAAGTTAGATTGGAGGCAGACATCAAGGATGGGGGAATGACTTTGTTAACAGCCATATCTCCTTATGCTAATTGGCTCCAAGGAAATGCTGATATCAAATGAAGCATCTACTGGTGATGGAATAGAGCTCAAATGTGAAGTTCTAGAAGTACGAGCAAAGAATTTTTTAAGGTATACTCTGCAGACTGCAATCAAAGCTGCTGTCAATCATTTCAAGCTTTTAGTACATAATTTTGATTTATCTTTCTTACTTTAACTATTGGTATATCTTGAGGGGTACATACTTTATCGTGGATCAGTTTTGGTTAATTTTATATTTCTAGACCGCCTGCTGAGATACTGTATCGTCTAGGTTTCTTCCATTTTTCACTTCTACACTCATGTTACTGAGCTTATTACATTTTCTGACTCCTTATGAGAGTGATCGTGTTGCCATATCAGTGGTCAGGTTGATACTCAGCTGCAAATTACTGGATCAATGTTGCAGCCAACTATATCAGGAAATATTAAATTAAGCCAAGGAGAAGCTTATCTGCCTCATGATAAGGTGGCGGAGCTGCCCCTTTAAATAGACTGGCAGCCAATCAATATAGGATTCCAGGTGCCTGCTATTAATCAAGCAGTTTCTTCACGTTATTTTGCTCGATTTTTTGGCACAGAACGGGCTTCTTCAGGGATGAAATTCTCCAAGTCTACTGGTAACTTATGTATTTACTAGCAAAATTTCTATGATTTTTTTCTATTATAGTATTTGGACTTTGTAAGTAAAACTTTGTAATGATCTCTGCTCGTTTTGCCCGCAACAGGTAAATCTAATTCTGTTGAAAAGGAGATTGAGGAAGTGAAAATAAAACCAAATATGGATATCCGTCTGAGTGATATGAAACTTGTTTTAGGACCAGAGCTGAGGATAGTGTATCCTTTAATTCTTAATTTTGCTGTTAGTGGTGAGCTTGAACTTGATGGCATGGCTCATCCAAAATTTATCAAACCAAAGGGTTTCCTGACATTCGAGAATGGAGATGTCAATCTTGTGGCTACTCAGGTTTTGTCTAAATCTCTATTTTGATTTTCTGTGGTGACTCATTCATTCAATAATTTCTTGCAAAGCCAGGCTGTCCAAGAGTAATCATCATCTATTTTGTTTTCTAACACAGGTACGCCTGAAGAGGGAGTATCTCAACGTTGCAAAGTTTGAGCCTGAACATGGACTAGACCCTCTGCTAGATTTAGCCTTAGTTGGTTCAGAATGGCAATTTAGGGTCCAAAGTCGTGCCAGCAATTGGCAGGAAAAACTTGTGGTGACTTCAACTCGTTCTGTGGAACAGGATGCTCTCTCACCTTCCGAGGTAATTTTAAAGTCAAAACGCTAACTGAAATTTGGAAATGTTGCGTTTCTCTTCTTGATGAAATTTTCTGTTTATAATCTCACTCTCCCAGGCTGCAAAGGTGTTTGAGAGCCAATTAGCAGAATCAATACTAGAAGGAGATGGACAACTTGCTTTCAAAAAACTTGCAACCGCAACACTTGAAACCATAATGCCAAGGATAGAAGGAAAAGGAGAGTTTGGTCAGGCGAGATGGAGGTTGGTGTATGCCCCACAGATCCCAAGTTTACTCTCTGTTGATCCAACTGTGGATCCTCTCAAGTCTTTGGCAAGCAACATATCATTTGGAACGGAAGTTGAAGTGCAGCTCGGAAAACGTCTTCAGGTCAGCCATAAACATTTAAATCTTCTTTCTTCTCCATATGGCCACATTTCTTTTCAAAACCTTATTAGAAGAATAAGCACCACCCGGTTCTTGCTGTCTTTTATCTACAGGCCTCTGTGGTAAGACAGATGAAAGATTCTGAGATGGCGATGCAATGGACACTTATCTATCAGCTCACAAGCCGCTTGCGTGTCCTCCTGCAATCTGCACCTTCCAAACGTTTGCTTTTTGAATACTCTGCTACATCACAAGACTAAAAAGCCTTTTTGTCTTCCTCTGTCGGATTCATATGGATCAGCCGTTCGTTGCTAAGGAAGTGGAAATTGCAGGGTTTGGTGACTACCAACAAGAAAAATTATTTGATTATTTGGTCAGGGTGTTTCTTTGTTCACTTCTTTGGTCCTTTTCAGTGGTTAAAAATGTAAAAATTACATTGTAAATGCCATTTGTTAGGGAATATAAAATGGTTTGCCACTTCATTGACAGATTGGTGCCACAAGAAAGTTATGAAATTTATTATATCCAACAATAGACATGGCGGCTCTGGATACTTAAGGAAAAAACTAAAATATCTTACAGACGCTTTCCCAAGTAGGGCACCAAACGAACAAAGCTACATCCAAAGACAATTACACTGAACAGTCGAAAACTTATGACTACTAAGAACCTAAACAACACCAAATGCAACGACGACTTATTGGTTATAATTTGCAGCCTCTGCAAGCTTGGCAGAAAATCTAAGCTTCTTGATATTCAATTTCCGTTCCTCAACACATAACGCTTTCCATTCATCGCTCAACTCTCTTCTTTTTCCAGTTCCAAGGTTCATCAGCTTCTCAAGCTGCAACTTCTTTTGATAATCACTTAAACCTTGTGACATCACAGCCTCAAATGCATCCTGCACAGCAAGTAATTCATCATCATCGTCATGACTCTCCTTTCCAGCAGTAGTCCCGTTCTTCTTTGTTTTCGCTCTCCCATTCTCATATAAGGGTTCAGTATTAGCCACCACTTCCTCGTGCTCCTTCAACATCTCCTCCTCACTCTTGCTCTGCGGTGCTATTTGAGAAGTCCCGTTGTTGTCTGTTATTTTCGCTGCACCATTCTCATTTAAGGTTTCCTCGTGCTCCTTCAACATCTCCTCCCCACTCTCGTTCTGAGCAGTCCCGTTTTCCGCTGCCCCATTTTCGGGTTCCTCGTGTTCTTTATCCATACCATCATGATTACCAAATTCAGCTTCATTTTGTCCCCAAATCATTGAAGAAAATCCAAAGGCTTCAGAATCACTAGACCTAGTAAACTTGGGATCATTCCCTTCATTGATTTTCTCCCAGTGAACAAGAAATCTCCTTTTCAATTTCCTGATCTTACTCAAAACCTGCTCCTTGGAGAATTTCGCAACGATTGAACTTCCGAGGAAATGATAAAACGCATCCCAATCAATTTTGGATTGGAATCCTGTCTTAGCTCTGTAATCAACTAATCCCTGAGCAATTTGAAATGTGGTTTGAGAAAATCAAAGTATAATGGAGAAGATGAAGAAAGTGTTAAGAATTACCTTTAAGATAGAGAGCTCATCTTCCTCGTTCCAGATCCGGACGATCAACGGCGGACCCAATATCTTCTTCTTCCTCATCTTCTTCTTCTTCTTCTCTTTCATAGTCTCTTCGTCTGCTTCTGCTGCGTCGGAAGCAGCACGCTTTGAGGGAGGATTCCGTGGAGATTTTCGACGGGAGAGGGTATCGTCGGAGTCACCAGCACCACCAGAGGAAGAGAAATCGAGCTGCTTCGGAGACACCATGGTAATTGTTGCTTAAGACTGCTGATTCTAGGGGCATGCAGAGAAACCCTAAATCAGGAAATCGTATCCACCAAATTGACCAGTGAATGATTTCCCAATTTTCACGAACCCCAATCTTATAACAGAGACTCCCGAGAGAAAAAAAAAAAAAGCAAAATAATTATAGTTTCCAAATTTCTGAATCGAACCAGTAAAAAAAAATATCATGACTGAATTTTTTGATAAGTCAATAAGTACATGCATTAAAAAACACTTGTCTTCACTTTGCTTAAGTTTATGTTACCATGGCATTGAAGCAAACTGTTCCGAATGGAGACACTGCCATGCGGTTCTAACATTTATGAAAATATTTACATATATTTCGTTATTATTAAAAGAGAAAATCCCAGAAAAAACCTCCAAATTGAAACATTTTCCCAAGTAAAACCTCCAACCTTTTTTGTTCCCATATAAAACTTCTAAATTGAAAAATTTTCCCAATTAAAACATTCAACTTTTTCCGTTCCCAATTAAAGCCTCCAACTAATCAATTTTCTCTAAAGAAACTTTCAAGTCGTCAAACTTGAGCATGATCAATGGTTGACCTATGATCGCTGGTAATTTCGTTCGGAATAGTTAATAGTCGTTGACGACATCTATTTTTTGTTTATTTAGTTTTCAAAATTTTATATGAACCCTAAAAATTGTACTGTACTTTATCCGCAGTTGAACCGTACGTCTTTATTAAAGTTGTAAATGTTAAGACCATGAATGGGAGACACGTATAAGTGTGGTACGGGAAGAACCGCAGTGTATTGTTACCATTCAAGACAATTTTTGTCTTTTGATTTTTGAGAAAATAATAAAAAAAAATAAAGAAAAAGGAAGTGCGGTACACTTTTGGTCTTGAATTTACTGAACCGCAAGGTGCGGTCATACATCGTCATGGTGACGGCGGTTTCAGTGGTGCGGGACAAGCGGTTTTAGAAGTGCGGTGCGGTTTAACTGCGGTGCGGTTCAAAGAAACGCATTATGCGGAACAAGTGTGGTTACTCGTAACAAGCGGTGCGGGATAATATATGAATGGTGAAAAAACTAATATGTGGTGCGGTTCAAATGTTTGAATAGTAAAAATATAAAAAGCGGTGCAATATATATATTTTAGATAAATATTATAAATAAAAATAAATTAATGATATTATAAATTAAAATTATTAGTTTAGTGATTAATTAATGATCAAATGTATGTATAATTTATGAAAGATAAATACAAAATATCTGATGTTTATAATTTTTGTGAGTGTTCAATATTTAAGAATCATATAAAGTTAAAATTAAAACTGATTTAAAGAAAATATTAAAAATTTAAGAAAAGATAACTAATTTTTAGAATAAAAATATTAAAACTGGTATTTTATTTTTTATTTTGTTTTAATTCAAAAATATATGAATATTTTTTGGACAAATAAGTTTGACCCAATAACACATTTTTGAAAAGAAAATTTTTTTTTTGAAACTATAATTTTTTAAAATAATTAATCAAAGTTTAATAACTATGATATCCGCACCGCATATCGTTTTTTCACCATTCATACATTGTCCCGCACCGCTTTTCTCGCAGTAACTGCACTTGTTCCGCTAGATGTGTTTCTTTCAACCGCACCGCAGTAAAACCATACCGCACTTTATAACCGCTTGTCCCGCATCGGTTAAACCGCCGTCACCATTCGGAGCCTAAGTACGATTCTACATCGAAATATGAAAATTTAAATAAGACTCTGAGACTCTAAATAGTGAGAGCGTATCAGGCGGTGCAGGACAAGCAGTTCAAGTAGTACGGTACGGTTTAGATGCGGTTTTTATATGAAAAACACATAGGATCCAAATGGTAACAGCGTATTTGATTATGCGGAAAAAGTAGTTTTATAGTGCGGTACGGTTCAACTACGGTACATGCGGAAGAAATGTATTTACGGGACAAGTGCAGTTTTAATAGAAAAAGCGGTACAAAATAATGTCTGATTAGTGAAAAAAAACTATTTGCGGTACACTATAAAATGTGTAAATGGTAAAAAAGAAAAAAAACAATACAGATTACATATTATAATAAATAAATTGAAATAAAAATTATTATATTAATAATTAGTATAATCGTATATTATTATTTGTTTGGTGTTAATAAAGAAATATTTTCATACATTTATGAACAAATTTATCAAAAGTAAGAGTTTGATTTTTAACATACATATTGTTAAATCATAAAAAAATTATAATATTTTAAAAAAGTATTATTTATTACTTTGATTTTCTAATAACATATTTACAATATTGTCTCTTGTTTTGCGTCATATATTCTCCATCTGCTAACTCTGCTGCATACGTCATGCTCAAAATACCTGTTGTGTTTATATTTGTTTCTGTCATTTCTGCGAAATGTGCATATGAGAAATTTGAAATTCTATTGAAATTATGTAATCCCACTGTAGCCATTACCACTCCTTTTTGAATGTGAACATTATATATAACATAACGTAAAGATACATGGCATTGGTTGAACAGTTCATGTTTATTCCTTGGAAGAGGACCATAATAGAATTGAGACATATGATATCTCACAATTTGGTTTCGTGCTTGTCTTTGTTCTACAAATTTCGTAAATACAATTTTACTTATGATGTCAAATTTAATAACTATTTTTATTAAAAAAAAAACTAGAAGCAAAAGTAAATTTACGCACACTGTTGTTTCTATAGGAAGAGTTGAAATTTCCAATTCCAAATTAAGGAATAATACTAATTTAACTAATACATGCAAATTCCATGATTTATATTTTTCTTAACGATCACTATGATAATTAACGATAATTAACGATAATTAACGATAATTATCTAGTTACAAATTAATTAAATACATAACCTATTACTAGAAACTAAAAATAGAGAAAAACATATGTAATGGATGAGATGAACATATGAGATTCTACAGCGGTAAAATATAACTATAATATATTAGCTATAAGTATATATTAATTAAACTATTAATACATGCTTAATTTAATTATTACTATATAAACAAGAAAACAATAATAGTGGTAATGTTTAAGAAATGGTTAGTTCTCTTCATACCATGATGTGATAAAAATATCAGAAAAATTATCTTAAATGTAGAAATAGTTAGAAAGGACTAAGGAGATAGTTTAGGAAACTTTTTCCGTAGCTTTTGCTTATGTACTTTCGTAGGACAGCTATATATAGAAAAAATTACTATATTAAATACAATAAAAATTAATTAGAAAAGAAACTAGTATTATCCACGGCGTGTTTGTACTGGATCTCAGGGTAAAGTATTGACAGCGTATAGAAACACGGTCCAATGTATTTATCGATATTTAAATCCGCAATATTTTTTTGTTTTTGGAAAGCGTAAATTATTAGTACTTTTGCTGATTGGCTGACCACATGCGTTTTTCAATATTTTTTTTCAAATTCCGCAATATATATGTTGCCAATCAAGACCATAAGCTTTGAATAGTGACAGTGGTTTGGAGGTGCGGGACAAGCGGTTTTAGAGGTACGGTACGGTTTTACTGCGGTATGGTTCAAAGAAACACATTATGTATAACAAGAGCGGTTACTACATAACAAGTGGTGCGGAACAATATATGAATGGTAAAAAAAACAACATGCGGTGCGGTTCAAATGTTTGAGTGGTAAAAATGTAAAAAACCGGTGTGGAATATATTTTTGATAAATATTTATAAATGAAAATAGTTAAAAAATATCATATGATTATCAATTAAAATTATTAATTTATTTTCTAACTAATGATCAAACATTTGTATATATTATTTATGATTCATAAATACTAAGTATTTATTAAAATTTTGAATAGTGACAACAAACGGTACAGACTAATATTTAATAAATTAATATACATAAATAATTATATAGTATTAAAATATTTATTAGATATTTAATTAATAACTAAATAAACATATTCAAAATCAAGATTCTTTTATATTATCTTGACAAAAAATTTGTTTAATTTCATATACTATATATATATATATAGTATTAGTATATAATTATAAAATAAAGTTCATGAACTGATTAAAATATCTATATATATATATATATGTATATATAGCTCCGGCTTAAATATACAGCTCCGACGAGATACAAAAAAATTCTCTTAAACACACACCAATAGAAAAAAAGCATGTAAATTTCATGTCTTGATCTTCTCCAAGTTTGCATCCTCTAACATGCTCCACTCCTCTCCGATAAAATCTTTTAATCTGAAAGATATAACCTAGTAGTCATTCCAAAAAGAAGAGAAAGTGATCATATAAAACGGTTTTTACGAGTTTCAGTCGATGCAAAATCATGAATAATAGTATCCAAATCCATGTCTTCTAACATATTTTTCTCAATATATAAAATAGCTAAACCGTTCAATCTTTCTTGAGACATTGAAGATCTCATATAATTTTTCAATAGCTTCAACTTTGAGAAGCTTCTCTCAGCCGATGCTACAGTTACAGATATAATTAAAAAAGTCGATATGCAATTGAAACATTTCGATAGCGTCCTATATTTTCAACAAATTCAAGCACTTCATTAGATGTCATTGGCACATCTAGTAAAACCATTTGTAAAACTTTCAATTCAAAATAAAAGTCATTTAAATTAACATAAGATGCAATGCCATGAGAAAATATTTTTTGGAAATTAATGCAATGTTCCCTAAATTCACTTTCATTAAGTAACTTTAACTTCAAAGAATCAAACAAAAACCCATTTACACTTTTAAAAGTAGTCATTTGCTGAAACCTATTTTTCACCGAACCAATTGCCATATCCACAACAATAAGAAAATAATTAACTCTAAAATCATCCTGAACGGATAATGTTTCTTCATCAAGCTCAATCTCATCAAATTGTTTTTCTTCTAAAGACACGGCGCTTACGTGGAAATATTGGATCAATATTCATATCATGAGCAAGACCTTGAGCTACTTTTAAACACAAATTAAATCATTCTTTTCTAAACTTTTCAAAAAATAACATTATAACATTATAAATGTTAATAACGCTCTACATACATGTTTACATGTATATAAATATTCATAACACTCAACATACGTTTTTGTTTTCTTTTTGGTAGTTCTACGATTTTGCAATAAACTAAATGGCTTATTTATTAGGTCATTTTAACAGGAGAGCATTTAATAGCTGTGAATTTTGTTTTTCGTTTCCTTTAAAGTCAAAAGAGATTCTCCACGCGCATGGCCAAACGAAGAAGTGGTTTTGCCGTAAATATTCCGAACTCCAAACCCATTTGCCAATCCTTTTTATCTTTGTTGAAGACCAAAACCTCATATTGTCGATTACCTAATTTGATGCCTCGTTTTTGTCTCTACACAAATTAACCCTTTTTTATTGTGTTGTGCTTTTTTTAAGATTAAAATTTTTAAAATTTTAGCAAAAATTATGTCAAAAAAAAACTTTTATTTTAGATCAATTTAGATATTTAAATTCATAAATATATGAAATTGTTTCTTTATTACAAAAAACACTAATTTGTAATTATCAATATATTTATTTCTAACATATTTATATATAATCGGTAATGCGTATCGCAAATAGTTTTTTCACCAATCAAACCTTATTTCGTACCGCTTATTTTGTACTAACCGCACTTGTCACGCAAATACGTTTCTCTCGTACGTACCGCACTATAAAACCGTTTTTTCCGCACAACCAAATACGTTGTTACCATTCAGACCTATAATGCGGAACAAGTGCGGTTGTTGTAAAACAAACAGTTTGAAGTAATATGTGAATGGTGAATATTACAAGTGTAGTGCGGGTATAATAATTATTAAATTTGACAATCAAAACATTTTTTTTTGAATAAAAGTGTTTAAATTGATAACTTTTATTTGTATAAAAAGCTTCAAATATTTTGGAATTTAAACAGAAACAAAAAGAAAAAAAAGTGGACCGGACTTTACAATCCTAACCACACCAATATAGACATACGCTAAAAGCACTATGCAGTTTGTTAAAAATTAAACCACACTTCTGTCTTTTATTTTTATTTTAATTCTTTTTCAAAAAAGTTTAAAAATAAAATAAAAAATGTGTATGAATGGTAACATTTTTTTAGTTATGCACCTTAAACATCTTGTACCGTATCTCCTATTCAATGCCTAAATTTGTAAGTACTTTTGTACTGCAGTGGTTTAATTTTTTTCTCTTATTTTATTCAAAAAAAAATGTAACTGCAGTGGTTTAATCTTATTTTATTTAGATATTCAAATAAGTAAATAAAATAAACCATACTCAAACACACCGAAAATAAGGCACAACCACAATATGGAGTGGTTCTTCACTTTTACAGGCACGATTCCCAATGGCGGTTCAAATAAGTTTTTAATTATCTATTAACCACACTTTACTTATTATTTTAATTAGTATTGAATGAAGTCTAAAATGCAAAACACACCTTAAGGTACATGAAACATGTTCTACATTCAGGCCCATAATATGTTATTAGGTGATTAAGGTTCTGAATGGTGACAGTGGATCGAGCGGGGCGAGATAAGCGGATTAAATAGTGAGATGCGGGGTAATTTCGGTTTATTGGAAAAAAATGCACTATACAGAACAAGTGAGGTTAATCAACCTAAAGCTAAAAAATTTCAATTCTCATCCATTGAAAATCAATTTTTGTATTTTTGGAAAATCAAAACTTTTAGTGGTATTTTGGGAACATTAACTAATAGTGGTATCTTTTGCAACAAAACTTGAAAGTGTAATATTTTGAGAAATTTCTCTTCAAATAATACTCTGGACCGTTTGTTTCACACTAACCGCACTTGTTCCACATGATGCGTTTCTTTTCATCAAATTGCAGTTGACCGCACCCAATTGCGGACCCACTAAAGAGAAAGGGGGTCAGTTGACCCAGGTTAAATCAACAAATAAATTTCAATGCATAAAAATCCTTAAAGAGATAGTCGCACAAATGGTAATTCCCTCATTAATGACACCCCTATATTCCAGTTCAATTCTACCTTCTTACACTTTTGCGTAATTTTTGTTCTTTTACATGTTTAAAAAATCTATAGCCCAGGTAAAAATAAATCATGGGTCCGCCACTGACCGTATCACTCAAACTGTTGTCACAATTTGAAGCCTCAAATTGGAAAAATTAGGACCGAGCATTTGATTATTCGGATCGGATTCTGGTCGCATCCATTCGGGTTTGGATTTTTGAATCCTAAAATTTAAGTCTCGTTCGGTTTTTTAAAAACTTTGGTTTGGATTCGGTTTGGTTCTTTTCAAGTTAGGATCGATTCTTGTGTTTGTATTGAGAATATGTAAAAATCCAAAAAAATCGGGTACAATTCAGGTGGGTATTTTGTACCCGAATCTATAAAAGGTCTTCAAAATACACAAATTATCACCTAATTCAACTAAAATACCCAAAAAAATGTAATTTGGGGTACTGGTTATTATAAATATAAATATTACTAATAGTTTTTGGATATATTTTTATATTTTGGGTATGTTATTATAAAAAAAAAGAAATTATGATCCTTTTATGTTCTATTTTTTTTTTCTTTTTATTGAACATTTTTATGATTGTTCGTTTATGTCATTCCTCTTTCTCTGCATTTATAATCGATAGATAGAGGTTGATTTTGTTAGTTATTTTTTCAGTTATATTTGTTAAAGAAATACACAACGCAAATGAGCAATATATTAGCGGGCCGAGAAGGCCCATCTTACTAACAAAATGCCAAATTCAATGACCTGAGAGAAAATAAAATCAAAAAGTTTGGAAGAGCATTTATGTTGCCTGCTACAGAAAAAGCAAAACAAAAACAAAATTGCTGAGGTGATGAAACAAAGAGCGATTAATATCCTCCTCTGCCATCCTGATGAGACCACCACTCACTACATGGTCTAACCATCGAGCCACCATTTACATGATTAACCCCAAGAGTCCGGTTCGATTGAGCCTGCCACTCTGGTAGTATATCATTGTCATTATCATTATAACTTAGGTTACTCAAAGGTTCAGATTTTCCATATTTTTGAATAAGCTCTCTCACAGATACAGACCGGCTCATCCGGTTCATGACAACATCTCCACCAGAAAAATAGTTAAATTCAGGCAAGTCATCATCATCATCCCGAGCCATGGTCGTTGGACCAAACCCCGGTGGCACATCATCACCATCGTCATGGTTGACCTGTAGCATGTTAATGTAACGAGACATATTATATGTGGTTACTGAAGAACCCATTTCACGGTGGTTCTTGTGAGAGTTGTTAGATAGTGGTGGTTTTTTAAATTGTCGTCTTCTCCATACAACAACACCTATAAGACCATCATCATTTAAAGATTTCAAGAAATCGAGTTGGTTTCTCGGAACAATCTTGTTTAGAATCTCTGGGGTTCTCCCACGGGTTGGGCATAGGTATAGCTCAACTCCTGAAGCCGGTTCTGCGTAACCCACCCTCTCATCTTTAGCGTACGAATCCACCACCTGTGTGATAACAAAACCACATTTCCCAAATTCGTTACCAATCCAGCATCTAGATAACCTTAATTTTTGAAAAATAAGAACCAAACTAAAACCTAACAGTTGTACAGGTTCATTTCTGTTCAGATTCAACTTTTTAATCAAATATAAACATATCAAGATTTTGATTTTTGATCGATTAATTTCTTTCTTTTTGGTTCGGATTTGTTTATTTGGATCAAACACATCTACTCAGAATCTTACTTAACTACCACGGCTCATACCTCGGAAATGATCTCTTGGTCTGTCTTTGAGCACTCTTCTCTACAGACGAAAGTCATAACCTGTAACACAAAATCAAGGTTTATCAGTACCCATGATTAATACACGAGTTTTCGCAGGGGCTTAAAACACAGAGAGTAAACTCTAAACAATTATCAGACACAACAGGGACTTCTTTTTTAACCAAGCAGACAGCTTTCCATGAATGTGCATGAAAACGAAAAAAGTAAGGAGTGTTAAATAATACCATAACAGCACGGCTCCTGGAATTTGGGAGCTCTCGAACAAATTTCTCAAATGCATCTAATCTGACTCTACCCTTGATCTCAAGCAACATAGGCCACTCTTTAGTAGTAGTCTTTTCACCACTGTCATAGAGTAAACATCAGATTAGTAAACGTGGTATCAATAGATGTACAGACTTTGACATAAATCAAACGTTCTATAATGCGAATGAATTTTATGGATAGCATGAAACCAATGAGAAGCTTATAAATTCAGAAAAGCTTGTAATTAACGAAGTCATTTCCATTCAAAAACATCTTATGCAGCTGATAAACACTGAAATATTATAAATAATTAACATGTTAAGGGTCTTTGACTAATCAGCATAAAGAAAGCTTTTAAAGCATGCAAACCCAAATTTGGAAATGTAGACTGAATAAAAAATACTGACATAGGTTTGCCACCACTCATGAAACCATTTATAACAAACCTTCTTAGAATGCCGATGACAGAGCTCACAGTAGAAGCACTTAGCTGGAGCGCACCTTCCCATACACGTTCACCATCAGGTATGAAACCAGATATAATTTCAGATTTCAGATCAGAATCAGGCTTTAACGTTACTATGTCACCATCCTCAGCCTTAACTGGTGATGTACCAAGATCAATATTAGCACTTTCTTTGGGTGATATACAAACTAAAACCGTCTCTGCATCATTATTATCTGACACAGACGGAGATTCAGAATCTATGGATGACATGAATTCATCAAGAGACACAATTGAAGGAAGAGATACAGTGGCAGCCTGCATCTCATCATCTATTGTGACTCCATTTATTGCGCCATTGCCCTCATCAGAGACATTCAATTCCTTCTTGATTCCAAGTGTTTTAGTAATGGAAGGGGTTTTCTTCTTGATATTCTTTGGTCGAGACCAATTAAGCGAGCTCATTCCAACAGAGACCTCTACTGAGCCACTATCCATTGGTTCAACTTCCACTTGGAACTCTCCTTTGTGTGTTTTCCTTACCAGGCTTCTGATATCCACCTCTGTGTCCTGCAGAACAACCATCTGAGCCATCTCTTCTGCTTTTGCTTGTCGCCACTCGGCTAGTTCCTTTGAAGCAAGTTCCTCTGCTGACATGGAACACAATCGCTCTGCTGCAATTTCTCCATACATAACTTTTTCCCTGAGTTTAGGATTACTCTTATCTTTAAAATTGAACAAGAGAGACCTTCCTTTCTCTTTATATTTCTTATTCACACCACCAAATAACTTAAACAGTTCTGCCTCTATTTCAAATGCCAAAACTTGTGGATCCAGTAACAATTTCTCCTGACTCCCATCATTAGCCATTGCTCCAATCATATCATTTCGACAATTGACAGTAAAATCAATATCCGACTCAAGAGCCCAAGAGAGGTCATTCCCTTGCAAAAGATCATCTTTTGAAAACACATTGTCACTATATGAAACATTGTCTTGCACAAACGGTTTTAAAGCCTCAGGTTCTTGTGCAATAATTTCTTGGGCATCAGTTGTCTTGGTGATAGTCAAAATCTCCGGTAACACAGTCTGAACAGAGACACCTTCTAAAGTACTAGGATCACTGAGGGTCAGAATCTCTGTGCTCCCATTAGATACCATCACATCAACTCCAGAAGCAGCTGACACTGGCTCACTAACATGAACTTCGAGAGGATTACCTACAGTCTCACTATCTAACCTTTTCGACTCTTTAGGAACTTCCATATGACACTGTACCATTGCCAATGCACCAGCTAAAGATTCTCTCATTTTAAACCTAACAGATCCAGATGATTCACTCTGAGGTTTCAGCAACATCGGTTTCTGCGAAGTCTGTTTTCTCGCCGCAGTTTGCTTACCGGGTTTATTACAAGAAACAGAACTATTCTTACTAACAAATGATGCAGGCAAATACTGTGTCCTGGGGGAAACAGAAGATAACTGCACCTGCATTGGAGCAGACGCCCATGGTCTATGTTCCATAGGTAGTACCATCCGTTTATTTGGCACAGATTGCTGCAACGGAGATTTCCGCTTACCGGATAACAGAGTTGTATCCATATTAACTGATCCTAAACCAACAGCACTAGGCAACATTACATGAAAATCCTGCCTCCCACCAGAGATCTGATTAGAAGTCAGGTCTGGAGTAGTGTCAACATTGATGAATTGACCCATTTGTAAACAATGCTGAGGCGAGAGATTGTTGGACATAACAGGCAAATCAATGTAACAAAACAAAAAGCTGCAAAATGGAAATTACAAACAAATTCAGTCAAGATTTCATAACAACATCTAAACCATTGATTCAGATGATGAATGTGAGAAGAGTGAATGTGAATTACCTAATCTGAGAAGCGAGGAAGAGAGATCAGAGGCGGCGATTGGAAAGAGAAGACCATGAGTGTATAGTGAAGAAGAAAACCCTAAATGGAACTTAGAGAGGCATGTGAGAGAGATGTGTGTCAACACTATAATTTTTTTTTTTTTTTTTATCAACAACTTTATTAGATTAACTTATAAAAGCCAATTCTGGAGATATAATTAATTAGTGTCTCTAATAGCCACAAAGTGCTTTGTAACCGTAATTAGCTTTTCAATATTTTGAATTTTAAACTCAATTATTAATGTCTCTAGTAGGCCTGGCGTTCGGGTCTTCGGATCGGTTCTGGTTCGATTCCAGTTTTTTTTTGTTTTATAGTTTAGTATCTATATAAGAACCGAAACAATTTTGGTTCATTTCAGATTCTGATACTTTCGGTTCTGAAGTTTATGTTCCATTCGGATCATTTCTTTCGGATATTTTAAATATTTTAGGTATTTTTTGGATATTTTGGTATTTCGGGTATTTTTAGTTATTTGGTGTAAAAATAACTAATTTTTGGATATATAATTATATTTCGGACACCGAAATATTTTAGTTCGATTCTGATTTCATTTTTCGGTTCTAAAATTTATTTTAAAATTTCAGTTTGGATTCGGTTCGATTCAATTTTGGTGAAGTTCTTTCGGTTCAGTTATTTTTCCCATACTTAATCAGTGGTCGCTAAAGTCCATTTGGATTGGTGTTCTTCTGGTTCTCCCCAATATTGTCAGTATGCTGACAACAAAATTATTGTAACGAGGTCGGACAATCGTTCCTTTTGACATTGTTCCTTTTCCTCTCTCTTGAAGAAAACTTTAAATTACAGATCTAGATCTAGTTTAGTTGTTCTCCTTGATCTTCATTGTAGGTTCTGAATTGGCTAAGTGAAGCAGAGGTAGACCGGCTCCTTTCTCCGGTAACGGCGAGGTGTGGTATCCATCGGCGACGCAGCTGTGGCTCTTTCACGGTGGTCGAGAAGCTTCTCCTAGGAGAGCCGCGGAAGATTTCTTCTCAGGCTCAACTACAGTGAAGGCTGCTGCGGCTTGAGGCGAAAGTCGTCGGAGGATTGGTGGGTTACGTTGCTAGTCATGGTGATTAACGGCATATCTGAGCTGGCTCTCGCGGGTAGCGGCTTTTGAGGGATTTCTGAGCCATCGTCCATCACAAGCTTCCGTGTTGTTGCTTTCACCGGACTGGTTCTGAATTGGCTTGGTCTCGAAGAAGGGTAATGGTTACGGCTTTTGAGTTTGAGGGTTAGATTTGTGTTTATCGATTTGCTAGGTAGGGGAGTCAATAATAGGGTTCTGATTTGTAGGAGGTTTGGGCCATTCTGGGAGGTCCGTGGTGGGTCAGGCTTCTCATCGGAAACAGCACAATGACAAGAACCTAATAATCCAGTACGGTTAACATGTTCGGTCCCAATGACAAGCCGCAAAGTTGTGGTCTTTGTATTAGCCAAAATTAATGGTCTTCTCTCTGCTCTCAGCTACAGCCTAAATCAGATCTCCCTCACCGGAGCTATCACCGGAATTTTTCTTCTTTTTGTATCTGTGTAACTTTGCCAATTTCAGGCCTTTTGGCCCATTTTCGGGGCAAGCCCATAAATAAAAATCTTAGGCCTTAAATGGTAACAAAAACTAGCTGATTTATTGAGGAATTGTTGTGGAAAAAATTGAATGCTACATCATTTGCATTTGTGGAATTCTTGTGGAATTCACGTGGAATTATTGAGTCTTTTACTCATGGTCCCCACCACATCGAATGATTTTTATTGAAACAATGAATCTTATCATTTTTGTGTACAAAACAATCAAAGTGAGTCAATTATATTCCGACATATTTTGTATTTTTCTGTACACAACTCATATAATAAAATAAAAATTAAACAAGATTCACGAGTGTCGAGTGATTGAAGAGGCTTCGTAGTCGTACGGGTCTATCGGTAGTGGTTGAAGAGGGCACAGGAAGAATACTTATGGATGAACAATGGTGGAAAGATCGAAAAAATGTATAGATTTTAACCGGAGACTTATCAATACTAATAATAATAATTTCTTATTTTTTTAATAATAATTCTATGTTGCAGGATACTCTAGGGGCTTCAAGGTTAAAAAAAAATCCTTTGCCGTGCATAGATTTGATGCACAAAGTATTCGGTCCTCATTGTGCTGTGAACGATCATATGATTTCAGCTAGTCAAATAGATGAGATAGATGAAGAAGACGATGAAGAAGAACAAGGGTTTGAAGAAGAAGATGATGAAGATAATTTTACGGAAACTGTACCAGAAACACAGGAAACGACAGAAAATCATCTCGTTGCACCGTCAATGCCGATTGAGATACCTACACATCAACGAAGATCAAGGCAAGGTGGTAACAGAGGTGGTAGAAACATTATCAGAGTTTCCAAGATACGATGTCGAGACACAAAACAAATTAATCATAACCACTACTGGGTTGCATAACTTCATTCGTCTTTCTCAAATTCCTAATTTTGATTTTGATGATGCTTTGCATACTAATGCAATCCCAGGAGAACAAGTTCATACCAACGAGGACTGTGGAGTATATGTAGACGCAAGTTTCTTGCATGAACAAGAGGGAACAACAGATGGAGCACATATGCAAACAATACGAGAGGGAATCAAACAACAATTATGGGATGCTTTTCATTAGTGAGTTTCTTATATGTATTTCAGAATAATGTATTTTGAAGTTTATTTTAAGAAAACACTAAACAAATAATAATTATTTCGAATATATTTTTTTTAAAAAGTATGATAATTATGTTTTAGTAAAAATATCAAATTTAAATTAAATATTTGCATATATTTATTTAATTAATATTGTTTACAACCAAAATTTCTTTAATTAATATTTTTATAAGTTTAATTATATTATTACTTTTCAAAAATTCAGCTAGATTCAGCAGTTACCATTTGAACTTAACATTATTCAGCTACATTCAGCAAAAAATCACCAATATATTCAGCCAGATTCAGCAATTCAGCCGAATTCAACCGCATTCAGCGGTTACCATTTAGAGCCTTAGTTTCTACAAAAAAAAAAAATGTTGTAACGTCCCGTTGTATAATAAATAGGCCGAAATCGACTTTCTAAAATACAAAAAAAAAATTAATAAATTTTTTTTACGAATTATGCAATTTAAAATACAATAAATATAACTATATAAAAATATAAATAGACATGTATTCCGAAGAAGTCTAATTTTATAAGATTAACAAATTGTATACTAAATTATCCTTTAATTTTTTAAAATAATATGCATACATTATTATTTTTATATATCACATAACTATATATTAATATATCTTTATATATTATGGAACTCTCTATATAGTAACTAATGTAAAAACAAAAAGATATGAAGGATATGATATGGAACTAAAACATAAAATAAATTCGTACATTTTTGAAAAGGGTAATGTTCAGCAAATGATCCAACTCTAAACATTAACCATTAGTTGATTTTTATAGTAATGGAACTAAGTTTTGGTTTCAAATAAGGGGTCGTAGGCAAGTGCCTTATTTTTTAAAAGGTAAGTACGACCAGGCCCGTGGCTATGAAGGAAAAATAGAAACATTGGCCTACGGCCATTTTTTTAAAAAATCAACTAAGCTTCTAACTTTTGTTTTCATATTGGTTTAGTGCTTTTTGTTTATTAATACAAAATTTGATAAAACATAAACAAAGAAAATGAGACTACGTTTTAAATTAGTAATTATGAGTTATGATTTACAAACTAAATTATAACTTATAGTTTTTCAAAATAAATAAATAATTATAACTTATAAAAGAGACTATAACTACATTTTGGGTTTTCTTACTCAATTTGTTTGGAATGATGATGATTAGTAGTTTATAAACTTTGTTTTATATATCTAGGTAGCGTTTAGTTTTGGAGAAAATCCTAAATCCTTCGAAAAAATATGGTTAACATGCACCTCTAATTTGATCTCCCATTTATAAGAGGACTATTAACCCGCTTTGGTCTCACATATTATTTTTTTTCAAAAAATTATTTTATATGGGTTGAGGTTTTTTATAACATCGCCTCTGGTGTCTGTAATCTTAGACACGGCTCTGAGTACGACCCTGCTTAAACTTTTTTTTTGGCATAAGAATAGAGACTTAATCTATCACTTATCTTATGTGTTTGCTGAAGATGGCAAAGAAAAACAAGAATGGGACTGAAACCAAACCACTGAATATTCTTGGCTTTGATCAAGCTGCTGACACTACAACATGGTTTCACCAATAATTAAGTCTTCACATCTTTAATCGGTTCCACCACGTCAGAATGTTTTTTCATCGAACAACATGTTTAAAAAGCACAAATGACGTTACCGAGAGAATCAAGGCCAACATTCTTGTAGTTATAGTTTGGCTCTTTGCACTTGGTATTCATTGATGATGATTCCAGTGACTTAAGCTGTTGAATGGTCAACGATTAATGCTTCATGCATGTTTATATTCGTATATACCATTGTTCTTGTTTCTAGTTTATCATTGGTCTTGGTTATTGTTATATGTCGATTTATCATAGAAGAGGAATGCTCAATGTTTCATGTTTATATTCATGTAATGATATAACCTTTTAAGCATCAACAAATGGGTGTTTAATTTTTTATGAATTGCTATAATTATTAATTTTTATGATATACAATTTTTTATAATTTTTTCTTTTTCTAAGAACCCCACTAGAGAACCTACCATTGGACTGTTAATATTTAAGTAGGAAAGATTGATGAAACCATGATTTAAGATTGGAGAGAAGCAGAAATGTATTGATGAAAGATGTGTGAAACACAACAAGGAGGCACACACGTTTATATAGAGAACATAATCTAGGTCTGAGATGGGTTGTGCACAAAGACCAAAAACACCCTCATTCAGCCTTGTAACCCGAGTAACCCGAGTAACCCAAGTAACCTGTAACCCGAGTAACCCATGTAACCTGTAACCCGAGTAACCCAAGTAACCTACATTTAACCCTTAACTATGACTTAGTTAGTGTTAAATGTCTTCTTGATTAACACTCCCCCTCAAGTTTATACCACAATGCCCAATTGTGTATAAACTTGACATTTGTATGAATAACCTCATTAAAAACCTAAGCTTGAAAAACCACGTGGGACAAAACCAAGCTTAGGGAAAAAGAGTATTATCCCTACAAGTTGGAGAATATTTTTCAAGGATGTGTCAGGTCTACAAGACCAAGTTTACCATGAATAAATTGGCAAACTTGGTTACTTGCTGCCTTGGTAAAGATATCGGCCAATTGGTCCGAACTCTTAGTGTAACAAGGGAGAATCGTACCATCTTCTATCTTCTCTCTTGTCTTGTGGCAATCCGACTCTATGTGCTTGGTCCTCTCGTGGAACACGGGATTGGTAGCAATGTGGATGGCCGCTTGATTGTCACTATGAAAAGTGATTGGAGTCTTCTGCTCGATCCCAAAGTCCTTTAACAAAGCCTTTAGCCATGTTAACTCGTTTGTGAGTTTCTTCATAGCTCTATACTCTGCTTCAGCACTCGAACAAGAGACCACTTTCTGCTTCTTCGACTTCCAAGTCACAAGATTCCCACCAATGAATGTACAAAAACCAGTTGTTGATTGTCTTGTGTTGCGATCCCCATTGTAATCTGCATCGCAATATCCAACAATCTCTGTGCTAGAGTTTCTTCCCATCCATATGCCTTTGCCGGGACTTCCTTTGATATATCTCAAAATTCTCTCCACCAAACTCCAATGATAAACAGTGGGAGCTTGCATGTGTTGAGCTACCTGATTCACAGCAAAAGATAAATCAGGTCGAGTATATGTCAAGTAGATAAGCTTACCCACGAGTCTTCGGTATTGTTCGGGGCAATGATAAGGAGTGTCATCTTTTTCCCCCTTTCGATTGACCTTGTACCCTTGCTCGAGTGGTGTATCTACTGGTTTAGCTCCAAGCTTTCCTGTAAGTTTTAGAAGATCAAGAGCGTATTTCCTTTGTGAGAGAAATAGTCCCTCCTTGGATCTACACACCTCAATCCCTAAGAAATACTTCAAAACACCCAAATCTTTAATATCAAAAGCAGAGTGTAAAGAAGACTTGGTAGCTTGGATACCTGCTTTGTTACTTCCAGAGATAATCAAGTCATCAACATAGATCAAAACTACTACAATTCCTTGATTATCCTGTTTAGTGAACAAAATGTGATCAGAATGTGACCTTTTGAAACCTTCTCTAAGCAAGGTTGAACTCAGCTTGTGATACCAAGCTCTTGGGGATTGTTTGAGGCCATAGATAGCTTTTCGAAGTCTTAACACCTTCCCTGGAGCCACTGTATCCTCTAAACCCGGAGGTGGTGTCATATACACTTCTTCTTCTAACTCCCCCTGAAGAAAAGCGTTCTTGACATCCATCTGCCACAATTCCCAATCCAAATTCACCGCTAGAGAAAGAACAACCTTGACTGTGTGTTGCTTAGCTACTGGCGCAAAAGTTTCTCTATAGTCTTCACCATATGTCTGAGTAAACCCTCTTGCCACTAGCCTAGCCTTATATCTCTCAATTTCACCATCATTCTTATATTTTATGGTGAAAACCCATTTTGAACTCACACACTTCTTCCCTGGTGGAAGCTCTTCTTCATCCCAAGTATGATTCCTAACCATAGCATGAACCTCATCATCCACAGCATTAGTCCATTCCTTTCTTTCCTTGGCTTCTTCATAGCTTTGTGGTATGAATTCCACATCTAGCTTACTGATAAAAGCTCTATGTTCTTCAGGAAGAAGGTCAATCGAGCAAACTTGTTGAATGGGGTAAGTGACTTGATTAGCCGGGTAATGAAACTGATTGTCTCTCCACATTTCTGGAGGATTGCGAGGGCGTGTGCTTCGTCGGGGAACCGGAGCTGTATGAAGAATAGTTTCATTGTCATTGTCATGGTCTGAGGAGTTCTCCAAGTCTTGTCCGGTCATATTGCTTTGAGAAGGACCCGATGGTGTTTGATTTCCGGTAGGTACAATATCATCATTGTAACCATGCTGAGGGCTGCCGTGAGCAGGTTGGGGAGAAGACGCTTCAGCCGTAGGTGCCGGATTACCAAGATGTTGGATGATGAACTCTAAGCTCTTTGCTCGATCCGAGGGACTATCCGAGATGTCTTTGACATTGTCCCAACTCTTTGTTTCAAAGTAGCTTTGTTCTTCGAAGAATTTAACGTCTCTTGATACCAACATCCTATTTGTAGAAGGATTGAAGCACTTGTATCCCTTTTGAGTAGTAGAGTAGCCGAGAAACATACACTTTGTGCTTTTCGGTTCAAGCTTGTTTCTTTGATCTCCGGGAACTAGAACAAAGCAAACACTCCCAAAAACACGTAAGTGATCTAGAGAAGGCTTAGACTTATTAATTACCTCAAATGGTGATGCATTTTGTAGGATCTTTGTAGGGATCCGGTTGATTAGATAGCACGCGGATAACACCGCGTCTCCCCAAAAACGTTTTGGTACATTATGATGAAACATCATGGATCTCGCCACTTCCATCAAATGTCGATTCTTCCTCTCGGCCACACCATTTTGTTGTGGTGTATATGGACAACTTGTTTGATGAATGATCCCATGTCTTGTGAGATGATCTTTGAATGCTTGACTTGTATACTCTCCTCCATTATCCGACCTAAACACTTTGATCTTAGCATTATATTGGTTAGTTATATGATT